TAACAGTCAAGATGATTGTCACTCATGGATCTCTTCCTGACAGAAACAACAGTGATGCTAAGGACTGGGGGAGGCAAAGAAAGCAAAAGTTCCAATTTTCTTTCACCATATGCATGCCTGCCTCTAACACAGCTGGAATCGGACACAAACAGCGGTGTTTTTTCTGCAACACTAAAATGAGGACACTTCTTTCAATACACATCTTGTGCAGGTGTCCTGGTCTTTGTGCAATTAGACTGTTGCAACACATGGTATGTGAGGCTGCATCTCAAAACCAGCCAGGAAAACTAGCACAGATCCCTGTGGCTGCATCAGGGGCTGTAGGGATCCAATGCTTTACTGAATTGGAACACAGGCACAACAAGTTTTAAAAGTTACCAGAGGATTCCCAGCATAATGAGTTGCATTAATTCCATTAGCTTGGCTCTTTCAGCACACCTGGGTTTAATTAGGCACCTTGATTGGTATGGCTGAACTCGTTAGCTTCCACTGATTGACAAATAGCTAAGGAAGCAAAGTTGCACTGGAAGTGGTTTGCTGGGTAAAAGGGGCAGTGGCAGAATGAGTGTGGTCTCTTGAGGGATCTGGAGTAAAGGGGCAGTTGTGAAGGAAGTGGCTGCTGTTTGTTGTGACAGAAGATTTGATTTATGTAAGTTCCTTTTGTTTATTTGTTTGTGTGTACTTAGTGAGAAGCTTTAGAGCTTCTGTTGTAGTTTGCTTTTAACTTTGCAGAGTAGCCATCAAGTTTTGTGTTAACCATGTGATTTAGGTAGATTATGCTCTCTGTGTGTGGTTCTGCTGCAGGAAACAGTTGTATCTAATGAAGTCCCTTGAGAAAAAATTTCTCCTCTGGTAATACTTAACTTAAATAAATGAACTTCTATCTGAAGAGAATAATTTCCTCAAAATGACCTCTTTAACTATGAGAAGCAATAAGGTGAAAATGTAATGTATCTCTTATGCTACTAAGCCTTTAAGTATGTGATATGAATTTGTTCTTATTTTAATTGAAACTATTTGATTAAGGTCTAGTATAACTGGAGGGCTGACCCACTTCTGGCCTGTCCCTGCTGTAACTCTTGACAAATCTTGTGCTATTTGAGGAGGGGTAAGTGTTACGGTGTATGATATCGCTAATAAGGGCATAGTTCCAAGGAAATGTAACAAGTAACTTCTGACTTGAAGGTCATAGTGGATTCTAAATTATTCTCTTACTTAAGATGATTAATTTACTTAATTAGTTAATCATCCTTTCTTCCTTGGAGAGAAATAATTACATTAATAACTTTCTTATAATTCTTGCTGTTTCTCAGGTAGACAAATCTATAAAATATACATATAATAATAGGAAACTGAAGTGTAGTGTGATCAAGGCTATTGCTGCCAGAAATGCCTGGTAGCTCTACCTCCTTAACCTGAGGTATATATTAAGTATGCTGTGTGCATTTTTTCCTTGGAGAAAAAAAAAAAAAAGGCAGTTTTTAAAGTATCTTGGATTACAGACTTGAGAATGAAGAAACCAAATGCTTATGAAAGCCTGTAATATTGAGTGAGTTGTCTCTGGGATCTGTAGTGACACAGAGGCTGAACCTGTCTCCTGCTGACCTGCTTGGACCTCTCCTCTTGAGACAGACAGGGTTTTCCAGGTCAAATGGGTGACAAAGGAGTAGAGAGGATTCTCTGTTGTGCAGATGTAAATGAAGTTACCTTCTGGGGCTGCAGTGTTAAGTAAGTGTCCTCTGGGGCTTCCTGGTGTTTAGGGAAGGTTAAGTTGCACTAGCCTAGCTTGCCTAGCTGATGGCTGTGACGGGTGAGAAGGTTGATTACCTCTAAGACATGGAGACCATGGCAGCTTACTGCTTTCCCTCTATACCTTCTCCTTGGGGTCTGTTGTGCTGGAAGGGCTTGCAGCCCAGCTCTAGACATACCGACTTAAGTAAAACAACTTCCTTCACTGGCTGCAGGGGTGTGGCAGCAGTTAATGTATGGGTCTCCTCAGCCTGAGGTCTCTGAAGCGATAAGAGGAACATCCAGCACTGCCTTTCCCTGTTTATCTAGCTCCTGTATCTGTCAGGAAAGCTGCCAAACTAAACTGGTCAAATAATGTAACAACTTGACTAAAATAGTGACTCTATGCCAAGCTAAGGAGGTAATTCTGCCTTGGAAACCTTTTGCCAATTAGGATTTTGAGTTTTCTGAGGAAATGCCTGGAGTTGGAGGGTCTAGGCTGTCGTCCTTCCTCAAACCAGAGGGGTGCTGGGATGGTGGCTCCAGGTCACCAAGGTTCTGACTAGGGCATCAATTCCATAATTGGATTAAAACTTGCTCACATTGGAAATGTCTCTTTGGTAGCTTTTAGTGGCTTTAGACATGGTCTGCTGGTTGTCTGTTGCTTCACCTGTGTTTCCTGATTCAAAACTATGTCAATAGACTGCTTAATTACTAAACACTGTAGTGGCCTTCAAAATTGGATTAAAGCACATGAACAAATCTGACCTGACTTCAAAACTGTTCATGTCCATTTCCTTTAAAGAGAAGCTAGGAAGGGAAACTGATGTTCCTTCCAGCTCTGACAATTAATTGCCTCCCTCTTTAGCTGAACACATGAGAGTGAGCCTTTAGGTAGGCCCTTAGCTGCATTCATGTGCGTGCAACTCTTGGGAAATCAAATGGACTTCATGAAATTTGATATTTTCCCCAAAAGCACTACCTGTGTGACCTGGCCCTTGTCAGTGAGAATATAGTTTGCTACTTATCAGAAGTGCAGCAGCATCTGTGTGGCCACCACTTGCAGTGGGTAGTACTGTCTTCCCTCTGCAGGAAGGATTCAAGATTGACTTCCTCATGCAAATGCACCCTGCCTACATCCTCTCCCTAATATAAATTTTAAAAAGATATTTCTCTATTAACTCTCCCTTTCTTTCCCCACTGGTCTGGGGCAGATCGCAGTTGGGTATTCTGTATGTGTGGGGTTTTGTTAATTTTAAACTTGAACTACTGCAAGTTGTTTAGCCTATGTGCATGCTCCCCTTTGAGGCAAAAATTGAATTCTCTAACTGCTGGTCATGCAGAAGGCCTGACTTTTTCTTTAAACTGTTCAGTAAAATGACGTAACACAAACAGTTTAACACCTCCACTACCTTGAAGAGAGGTAAACGTTGCTTTTTCCTTCCTTCAGTACTAGGATTGCGGAGGGAATAGTTTTGGTCTCAATCCACAAATTTATTTAGATCCCAGGGTCCTACTTGCCTTCAGCAG